ATGTATTGATGACTGGGGACATCCCAATGAGCAGGATGTCCTGATGACCAGGAATGTCCTGGTGAGCGGGATGTCCTGCTGACCAGGGACATCCTGATAAGCAAGATGTCCTGGTGACTGATCCCAATGAGCAGGATGTCCTGATGACCAGGAATGTCCTGGTGAGCGGGATGTCCTGCTGACCAGGGACATCCTGATAAGCAAGATGTCCTGGTGACTGATCCCAGTGAGCAGGATGTCCTGATGACCAAGGACATCCCAGTGAGTGGGATGTCCTGGTGACTGGGGACATCCCAATGAGCAGGATGTCCTGCTGACCAGGGACATCCTGATAAGCAAGATGTCCTGGTGACTGATCCCAGTGAGCAGGATGTCCTGATGACCAAGGACATCCCAGTGAGTGGGATGTCCTGGTGACTGGGGACATCCCAATGAGCAGGATGTCCTGCTGACCAGGGACATCCTGATAAGCAAGATGTCCTGGTGACTGATCCCAGTGAGCAGGATGTCCTGATGACCAAGGACATCCCAGTGAGTGGGATGTCCTGGTGACTGGGGCTGTCCTGGCAAGCATGGGATATCCTGGTGACCAGGGATGTCCCAGCAAGCGGGTTGTCCTCATGACTGGGGACATCCCGGTGACGTCCCGGTGAGCAGTGCTGCCAGCTGGCTCTGTTTCCCCCCGCTGCAGGTGCGAGGCCCCGGCCTGGGCGTTGTCGGCGTCTCCAAGGGAGCAGAGGTGGCCTTGGCCATGGCCACCTTCCTCCCACAGGTGGTGGCCACGGTGTGGATCAACGGCACGGCCTTCCTCCACGGCAACCCGCTGGTCTACAAGGATCTCCGCATTCCCCCCATCCCCTACTACACCGAGCGCGTGATCTTCACGGAGGTGGGGGCCTTTGACAACTCGGCCATCTTCGCCGATCCCCGGGACCCTGCGTACAGCGCCTCGGCCATCCCGGTCGAGAAGATCCGGGGGAAGGTCCTCTTCGTGGTGGGGGAGGCCGACCGCAGCTTCAACAGCAAGCTCTTCGCCGAGTTGGCCATGGCACGGATGCCACCGGAGAGCTGCCGCCTCCTCTCCTACCCCGGAGCCGGGCACTTGATCGAGCCCCCCGGCTCGCCCCTCTGCAGCATCTCCAGCATTCGGGGCACCCCCCGGCCGGTGGTGTGGGGGGGTGAAGCCCAACCCCACGCCAAGGCCCAGGAGCACTCGTGGCAGGAGATCGTCCAGTTCTTGGAGCTCCACCTGGGCCTCGCCGCCACCATGAAGCTGTGATGGCTGTGGGGAGGTGATGGGGAAAAGGGGGCCGGGGCTGCCCCCGGGCTCATCGCCCTACTCAATAAAGTGCACCCTGCCAGCAGGTGCTGCCTAGTCCTGCCTGCACTCATGGGATGGGGGCACCAGGTCCCAGCGATGGCACGCGGGAGGACCCCTGTGTGCATATAGGTCCATATATAGGCATGGCCATGGCTCTGGGGGGTGTGGGGGTGTCGCTGTAGGTGATACTGCTCTTCAATGAGGTGGTTAAGGTTTTAAGGGGGGGGGACATGACCAAAACCCCATGCGCCCTTTCACCCTGAGCCCAGGTTTGGTGCCACAAGCTGGTGGGAGCTGAGGGTGGGTTTTCATAGAATCATGGAATCGTTAGGTTGGAAAAGACCTTTAAGATCATCCAGTCCAACCATTAGCCTAACACTACCAAGTCCACCACTAAACCAATTAAGGGCA